TTAACATTCCTTCGCAGTTTTCTCTTTTATGTTTTAAAACAATTAAAAAGTCTTTAATGCAAATTTTTGCTCAATGTAAATTTAAAATTTTTCTTTGAAACAATCGACTAAGCTCATTTGTCAAGGAAAACACATGTACTGCACAGCCTGAAGACACAATAAAACCACTTTCTCTAATTGATAATAATAAATTCTTGTTTTTGATGAAGATGTTTTGTCCTTCCATTTAGATATACTGTCTAGTGCATCAATTATTTGTTGCTTAACATTGAACGTCAGTAAAGCATCATATCTTTCAACCCATCGTTTTTCGCAGAGTGAAAACAGTTGCGAATTTAGCATTTTTTTTATAAATTTTCGTTTTGCAGAAGCATTAAAAAAAGTAACAACTTCACTATTAACCTCAAAACAATTTTTTATTTCCTGTACGTTCGAACTTTTGGATAAAGTTAAATTTAAATCATGATTATAACATGGACACCAAACAGCACTTGACATAACTTGTTAAATTTCAATTACCGCTTCTTTTTGCAATGATGACATAACACTACAACCATCTATTCCCAAACCGACTCATTTTTTTAAAGGAAAATGTAACTTTTTTTCCAACATGTTTATAAACGTTTGACCAATAACTTTGTCGTCAAGAATAGGTTCATTGTAAATAGACGCATTACTATTAGTTTGATGATTTTGATCGTGCAAATCAACAAATCCAACAAAATTTTCTCGAACTGATCCATCAGGCATCAAATAGCGTAATATTGTTGTCATTTGTGACTTATGTGATGCATCAGTTATTTCATCAAACATAATAGCATAATAATTTGATTCTCTAACACGGCTTACATTCGCATATTTCTTCTCCACAGCATTCAATTAAAGCATTTTGTGTAGTTTTGCTAATGTATTTTGTAGAAGTTCTATCTGTTTTTCAAATTTTGCTTTCCTAAAAATATAATTGTTTCAATAATAGGTATCAATCGTTGATAGTTTTCTGAAACCTGTTGAAGCCGTTGAACGTTTACTCTATTTACCATATACATTGCTGGTTTATCAAAGTTTTTTGAAAATACCTACCTGCTTCAACAGCTTCTTTGTGATATGTTGCTTTTTCGTGACTTGTTAGATGTCCGTGCTTGTTTGTGCAGTTTAGCAAACACGTGTAATGGTTGCTTCTGAAGTGCAGCTTGTTTGTGAGATCCTGCAGTCCGGTGATATAAAATTAATGCACAATATTTGCAGTATAGCCCCTTTTTTCTATTTGAATGAGAATGATTAAGATATCCTTTTCTCGATTATTTTTCTTAATGTGAACTGAATGCGACATTTTGTTGAATGTTGATGGTTTCCATGACAATTCTAATAGGTTTTTTATAGTTATATCATCAATAGTTGTACCAACCAATGTCATTAACAAACCCAGCATTTGAAATCTGAATTAAAAATGTTTGCCTTATTATAGTGGTTGCAGAGTCAGGTTAAGGCTCACTAAAATCTGTTCATTTTTTGAAACAGGCATAATTAAGTGAGATATCATTCGTTTTCTTCATTTCTCTGTTTATGTCTTGTAGTTCTGGTTTCTCATGCTCAGTATGTTGAATAGCAATATTAACATTAATTTCCGGTGCTGGTGCTGATGCGGTTTTGAGTTCATTTGTTCTTATAGTCCTATCCTTAATAGTAACAGTAAAACTAGTTGAAGGTATTTCAACAAATTTTTATTTTTTTAATGCTATAAAGAATAAATCGAAAAATAAATAAATAATAATAATGAAATAAATAAATAAATAAAAGAATAAATCGAAACTCTGCAGCCGAAAATGATTAGTTCTCTTCATTGCATCTCAAAAAAATAATATAACTATGGTAACAATCTATAACTTTGTTATTTTTTTATTGTAAACTGATATTAAACTATTATTAAAAATTGTTTAATTGTTTATTTTGAAAGTAATTTTTTTTTAACTAGTCTAGAATTAAACGACATTCAAACTTTAGTTTGAATGTCGTTTAATTCAATAACATTTGATCAAAAACTTTCTTTTATTATTCAATATACTCAAGCGCAGGATTGAAAAATCGTGTTTTTCAAAAGGAATGACCTTCGTAAACTAAATTGGAAATTAAAAAAAAATAAAAATAAAAACGTTTAGAACAGGTGCAAAAATACCTAACAAACTACCTATAAATATCTATTTAATTTTGAGAAAAGAGATTGTTAATAAAATTCTAAATTTTTAGTTATAGGCATTAAAAACTTGTGTCACGGAAGGAACGATAGGTTCCTTCCGTGACACAAGTTTCAATGGTTATAACAAAAAAGTTATTCTCAACATGCAACATCTTTATCTGAAACTAAATAGGTCTTTATAGGTAACATGCTAAGTATTATTGCTTCTAAACGTTTTTATTTTTTTTTTGAATTTTTAATTTAGTTTATAAAGGTCATTTTTTTTTGAAAAAAAAAAGACTTTTCAATCCTGGCCTTAAATTAATTGCTGTTACCTGCTGAATAAAAAGCACTGGTTTCTATTAAAAACAACTATTACATTAATTTGACAGGTTTGTATTATGTAAATTATTCATTCAAAATTATAAAAAATAATAAGATTGACTGAGATAATTGTAGAGATAATTATTTAAAAGAACTATAGAAAACAAGACAGACAAAAGCTGAAAAACATTAAAAAATAGTCATATGCGAAATTAATAACCTTAATAAATGTTTCTACATTTCGGCTCTAATATTCAGTTTATTATGTCATTTTAAAAATATTTGAAGCAAGCATTACTAATATCAAATTATTAATAAAAAACTAAATGAAAAGTAAATCAATAAAAAGAAAATGTGGGGTAATGTTTTATTTGTTTTATTTAATTACTTACCATGGTTTTTATTTAAAAATAAAAACCATGTAAGTAATTAGTAGGTAAGGTAAGTAATTAGATAAACAGAATTTATAATTTAGAAATTCCTTTAAATTCTTTTTTGCTTTTAAACTTTCAACGTACTATTTAAAAGTGAATCAATTAAGTTATACCGCGCAAATTCTAAACCGGACTACTAAGATTATATATATATATATATATATATATATATATATATATATATATATATATATATATATATATATATATATATATATATATATATATATATATATATATATATATATATATATATATACATATATATATATATATATATATATATATATATATATATATATATATATATATATATATATATATATATATATATATATATATATATACACAGTGTAAACAATTTTCATGTAATCAGTTTTCATGTAAAGTACGATAAATATTTAATAGAATATTATGTTTTTATTGTATTTTAAGGGTTTTAATAAATATACGCAATATACCAAAACGCATGACATAAGTTGGTTATAAACATAGATATATTCTTTTACGAAAAGGGCCGCTAAACCTTGACCTTGCATATACAAAAAAAAAAACTTTTTAAAAGTTTGGGTCTCTGGTCGATCAGTAGGACATCAAAAATGCAATTTATAATTATTTTTTCTTAAATTATGTATTTTAAAACCATAGCCATTTGAAATTAAAATAAAAAATAACTTTTTTCTTTTCAAGAACAACACAAAAACAAATTTACTTTAGTCTTTCATGCCTTAAAGTAGTTTTGTTTTTTAGTTTTAGTAATGAATGAAAAAGAAATTGTTTTTATTCAAAGAAATTTTTTATTTGTTTAAAAAAAAATTAATCTTTCAAATATATTAAACGCTTAAGATCGCGGCCACACTTCTCAGAGTAGTCATTAGTTACTATAGACTATATTTTTATATCAAAATATATAATTGTTATATATTTTGATATAAAAATATCAAAATATATAACAATTTTTTAATTCTTCATCAAAGTTGAAATTAGAACTATTTTTTACTTTAAATGCATAAAAATTGTATTATCAACTTTTTCAAGAAATTTTTTATTTATAACAGCCTATATAATAACCTTTCTTTTTCCTTTAACCAGCCTATATTATAACCTTTCTTTTTCCTTTAACCAACCTATATTATAACCTTTATTGTCAATTTTTAAAAAAGCATTTTTGTTTGAAATAGGCTTGAACACACAAAAGTTTTGATTTTACACAATGCCTGAAAGTATCATATATGGAACACCACAAAATCATTTGGGCGCGCACATATGCCGATCAAAATAAGCATTAAAAACAACAACAACGAAAAACAAAGTAATCTTAGGTAAAATGACAGAATTTAGATGTTCAAACTCCTATGACCATTATTGTCGGTCACTTTGTTGATTACGTTTGACTAAAGATTACATCTCTAATTTAAAAATGGAACAGCCAAGGCAATTCTTGAAATAACTTTATTTGAAAATAAATAACACTAGAAAACGAGTTTCTTATTTATTGCATCTAGACAGCGACCCTTGCGCCTATAAACGATGTTTAGTTACTGCCCCTTTTTCTTTTAAACGCATCAATGGGCGGAGAGAGTTGAGTTTATTATTTTGCATCATTCATTTATGCTATATCCGTTTTTGGAAGTTATGATCAAATATTTAAACACCTAATTAGAACCAAGAGATTATTGAATTAAAATTTATCATTAAATATAATGTTTTACTATTTTACCAAGACATTCATAACAAATCAAAAAAATTTGAAAACCATTTCTCTCACTTGAGAAATGGTTTTCAAATTTCTTTTATTATTCAATATACTTGAGTATATTGAATAATAAAAGAAAGGGAGACTAACATCCTTGTTTGTCACAGGTATGAATGTGCACAAGTTGTGAGTTTGCTTCAGGCCAAAAAGTTACCCTAAGTCTCATAAAAAAATGCGCCCCACTTGATGTCAAAAATAATATTCTAACGAATTAAAAAAAGTCGGTCAAAATTGATTGCAAAAATCTAAATTAGAAATTTTCAGTACAAAAATAAGTTTCATGAGGCAAATACTACAAATATTACACATAAAATTAAAAAATATATATTTTCTAGAAAACGGCAATATTTACAAGTATAACTCCGTTGCAATGTGAAATTTTGATTATTAATTTAAAATTACGTTTTATTTGCCACTATTTTTTTCTAACTTCATCAACTCGGTCTTTAGTTCGGCAAAGTGTATATTTAAAGATTGATAGCTTTGTGTATTGCCTTTTAGCTGTAATTCCGCTAACCACCGCTCACATTGAGCAATAACACGTGTTTGCTTCAATAAAAAATGTTTGTGAATAATCTACAAAACATAAAAAAATTCACATTAGTTATGTGTTTAAAAAGTGTTACGCTTTTGAAAATTCTTTTAAAATAAAGTAATTCAAACATAAGAAGAAACAAAACGTGGAAATAAAATTTAAAATTTTGATGTTTTAAGTTTTAAGCAGCGTAAAAATATAACGTCAAAAGGCAAATGACGAAAAGCTTTCCTTAACTCAATTGAGTATTATCATTTCGTCAATTAGCGTGATACTTGACGGTTCTATTCGTAATTTCGAGCAAATTGACGTTTCGGTTCGTAATTTCAAGTCTCTTGAAGTTTCGATTCGTATTTTCACGCATTATGACGTTTCGATTCGTATTTTCAAACCTCTTGCTGTTGCGTAATTTTTACGCTGTTTGCCATTAAAAACATCAGTGCGCATAGACCACACGGTCTTGTTTAGTTTGGTTTTTTCAAACTTATCAGAACCAGAAACCCTCAAATCAGTTCGTCAAAAAATATTTAGTTCTGTATAACTTTTATTTTTATTTTGGTCTGCTGTTAAAAAAGAGATGAAAAATTATTAAAAATTCACTGTTAATTAAATATCAGGCGATTACTATTTTTTTCTTTTTTCACTTTTCCATAATTACTTGAATCGTTAATTTCAAAAACTTTTTAAGTAACATTTTTTCAAAAACAATATTATTTTAAATTATGAAAGGTCAACTTTAGTTACAACGTCTTATACAGAAAGACATAAAATTAAAAAAAAAGTACATTTACCACAAAGATGAGGCCAATAAGGAGGAGGTTTACTCCATAATACTACACTATTAGAAAACCGAAGTTCCTAGTGGAATTAAGCATCTAATTCTTTTCAGTGATAGCATTTCAGGGCAAAACAAAAATTATCATATGGTGAGTTTCTTGATGAATCGTTGTAATATAGGAATATTCAAAACTATTCGTAACTACTTACCAGTCAGGGGTCACTTATTTTTACACTGTGATTGAGAATTCGGCTGCATCAAACGTGTGTTCAAAGAGTTGATATAATTTACACACCAAATAAGCATGTTAAGATGATTCTTAAATCAGGTAAAAATCAGGGCATTTTACTATTTAATAATTGGCCACAATTTTGCAAGTAGACTCTCAACTCAGATAAAACGTCTGGGGAGTTCGAAAGGAAGACAGGATTCGAAAGGAAGAAACGATTCACTTATCTATTGGTAGTACAATCTGTACAAAGATTCATAAGTATAATTTATATATATATATATATATATATATATATATATATATATATATATATATATATATATATATATATATATATATATACACAAATATATAATATTATCAGTGTTTTGAAATGAAGGAGATTTGTTCCTACAAAATAGACGTACGTTGATGCTGCAGTTTGTCTTTTTGACCATTGATATAACATTGAACATAACATTGAAATGTTTAGATACTTTATAGTCATAAATAAATTTATCAAAAATTATCTTCAGATTTTTCTTTATTGAAAAAATGGAAGATTCTAACTAGGTTTAAAAGTTTTTTCCTCAGTGCTTTGATTAATATGTTTTTTCGAGCATACGTGAAAGTTTTTATTTCAGGCTGTCAAGTTTTAAAAACTCTTTATTGCTTTGAATAATATGTTTTTTCGAGCATAGGTGAAAGTTTTCATTTCACAATTTTATAAAAAAATGAAAAAAATGACGGTATTTTGAGTGAAAAAATGGCAAAAAAAAAAAAACAAATTTCATTTAAAAAATGGAGTTTAACAACTATTTTTAAAACAAAATAAATCAGAAGTCATCAAAAATGTCTAAAATAATATAAAATAAATTAATAGAATAGAGCAAACACCAAATAAGATTCAAAATAATTAAAGAAGTTCACAACAACTTTTTTTTACAATACTACTGTGATTTTTTGAAACGAATAAACTTTCCATTTCACTTTTTGGTTTTAAACCAATATTTACTCTTAATATTTATTCTTAATTTTTTTTATTTCTATGTGCTATAGCATTTTCAAGATTTTTTTTTGGACTATTTACCATTTCATGGGCAATTTTTTATTTCTATCATGTTTTCTATATTGATGGCACTTTGCATAGACTTGGTCGCTTCATCCAGCATTCTCTGAGTAAGTTGAAACTCTAGATCTGTATTTTTCTAATCATTTTCAAAAATTTTTCCCCATCTAGGTTTGTTGTTTTTTTGAACTTTTCCAAGAATTGCCTTGTGTCGTTTTTCTTTGTCAATAAGTTCTTGCTTATGAATATAATTTATTGTTTTTTCTTCTTTTTCCTTAGCTTTTTAAAATATTCTATGAGGATTTTGCACTGCTTGAACGTGAGAGAATCAACACTATAGACTTTATAGCATTGGTACTTCTGGCGTATTCCTTTAATATTCTCAGAGCCATTAATGTTTCATCATTTAGTATTACTCGCTCTGAAGTAAAAGTATTTTTATTATCTGATAAACTTTGCTCTGCACTAGCGTTTACATTCTGAATAGTTAAACAGCTCTTAACAACTGAGATATAGATAATTAGTTTTTCCATATTCCTTGTAAAGCAAACAAAAAAATCTTTTAATACCTGCGAATCAAGCAGAAGTTTTTTTGTATTTTACAACGAATATGCATTCATCTCTAATTTGCTGTGAACAGGTATTTCTTTTTTTTTCACGTGAAAATTTTCACCCAAAAATTACATATTTATTTTTGAAACTCAATATTAGTCAGAAATAATAATTTTTTTGATAAAATATCTAGAAAAGATTAAAATATTCAATAACTAATCCAGCAAACATTAGTTTGTATTTATTCTTAAATAAAATATGCAACAATATATTAAAAAGTAAAGTACTTGGTTTTTAGCTATCTTGCCAAAATCCATTTTTTTTTAAATCAAGGTGGATAATTAAATAAGAAGAATGAACTTTTAAAATATCTTTGGAATGTTTACCACTAACAACAGGTTTCAGAAAATATTATCTATGATATTAAAAGATCTTTTTGTAGTTATTCCATCAACTTATCGAACACAGGTGTTTTTTTAAGAAAGGCCATCTTGAAATACATATGAAGCTTTTTGTCTAGTCATACTAAAACCTTGACTTACTATCTGGAAACATTCTTTGAAATAGTAATGATGTATTATCTTAAAGCAACATCATTTACTTTTTTTTTTTTTTTGTTATTCACCTTCTCAAGGCCGACAAAGCCACTACAGATGAGGAGGCTACTTAATAGTGGCTATAACCCTCTCTCAACTCTATAACTCGGAAATACAAACCCTGACAAACAAGGCCGCTGCATGGAGAAACAAGTTGAGCGCGGTACTACCAGGAACGTGGTTGGGATCTCTTGGAACCACTACCACATAATATTACTTTAAACAGCCACATAGCTTCTCCAGCTGAAATATTTATAGAATACTCTAATTGTACTACTTTCTCTCTCCCGGAGTTTTTATTTGTTTCTATGTATAAATGACGAGCTGTTTTTGAAAGTCTAATTTCAGAAACTAATTTATGTTAGGTTTTGTAGAATGCTGATAAAGTGCTTGAAAACCAACTAAACCTTTTTTTAAATCACTAAAAAGTTTAAAGATTGTAAGAGAATATTTATTGTAAAATTTATTTAAAATCAAAAATAACTCAAATTAAAAAAAAATAATTTTAAAGTAAAATATATCTTAACTCAATCCATATACTTAAAAAAAAACTTCAATTGAAAAAAATCAACAACAACAACAAAAAAAAGTGAAAAAATGACAAAAACTCACAAAAAAAAGAAAAAAAAAAAAAAAAAAAAGACCCAGAAAAATATGAAAAAAAATTACAACTTGACAGCCTGTTATTTCAAGTTCTTTCAAATTTTTTTTTCATAAACCTATTAATTTTTATTTATTTTTCTTCGTAAATGAATAAAAAATAAGTAACAAGGTCTTTAAGCATGAACCTATGTGCAGTTATCTAATTTTTAATTTTGCTATTATCCATTTTTATCTGGTTTTATTTGAAGTTATCTGTTATTATTCTATCATTCAATTTTGAATTTTTTCAAAAAAAAAATAAAAATTCAAGCAGTGAATTTTTTCAAAAAAAAAAAAAAAAATTAAGTGTTACAAAACTCCAACATTTTTAAGTGAACAAAATAAACACATTTTTTTTTTCTGACTAGTTTAAAAACTCGGATAAAAAATCTGTTTTCTTACAGTTTATTTAATTCCAAAAAAAGTCAAATAATAATATATTCAATATTATTGTTTTAATTGAACTAATATCTGTTTGAAAAATCCTAAAATATGGTTTTAAGTCCATATATATATAATCTAAGAGAACAAACTACAAGTAATAATTAACAAACCTCTTTAAAACATAATGTTGGATTTTTAATCTGTTCGACCATTGCCCATTTTATTGTTGCTTGCTGAATATTTGCATTGTAATCACGGGAGTTTTGCTGACCCTGTAGAGTAGCACGCATTTGTTCATAACCAGGTTCATTATAATATGGTTCACTTACCAAAATTAAAGATTGTATCGAAACAAGGACCTAATCGAAACATAAAAATAATTAACAAATAATAAATATTGTGAAGTTTTTTTTTTTTAAAAAAAGGACTTATTTAAAATAAAACCAATAGTTTACCAGTACCTGCAAAAGACTAGAAGTTTGTGAATTCCATTTTTCTTCTGGTCTGCCACTCCATGTGTTAAGTATACTTAAGCAGACATTACCATTATTGTATAGGTTAGGATTAAACCTTATGGTTTGTTTTCCAGTAGTCTTTAAATTGATACTCATTGGAGAAGTTGGATACTCGGCTGGAAAGTAAACATCAAATTCAAAACAACCATTTTCATAAGGTGTATCTTCAGGTCCTGTGATAAGAACCTACAATAAAAAAGTTAACAATAGAAAAAATATTGACAAAAAAATAATTAACTGGTACCACCAAGTGATTAGTGATTTGAAAATTCATTTTGAATTAAAATACATTTGTGTACTTTATTTGATATAAAATATATATTTTTTAATTAATTTCAAATAAAATATATTTGCATACTTTATCTGATATAAAATGTATTTGCATATAGGGATTGCAATCTCTGAGATCTTTCTTAATCCTGGGAATCCCGGGGTATTGAACAACATCAATCCTGGGATTAAAAAACAGATATAACATCTACATAGTATTAAATAGTACATTTTTAACCAAAAATATATTTATCAAATTAAAATATATTTATTTTATATATTTAAGGAAGTTTTAATATATTTAAGGAAGTTTGCATTTTATTGTAACACGCATGTTAATTGAACATGATAACTTAATGTTAAGAAATTATAATTAAACGTTATTACGTTATGTTAGAAATCAGGAAATACATCATGTTTTATATGCTTTGAAATGCGACTTTTAGGAAGCATAATGTGTCTCAAGTTTATTGCCCAAACGGTTATAAATTTTTGTATTGAGCAGCCCAGTGGAAGAAAACATCCACTTAGCCTCGAAACTTGTCAATTTCGCAGTCATTAGAACTGAATAAGCTCTTTCTAAATAATCATCATTTTCAAATAGTGTCATTTCTTTTGAATTTTTGACAACAGTATCTTATGTCTACCTGGTTGCATCAATTATTGTCCATTTTTAATAACATGATCAAGTTCCTCTTCAATACTTGAAGGATTATTTACAGATTCAGGTACCATTTCAGGTTCCTCAATCAAATCCAGCATATCAGACTGAATTAATGCTCTTACAAGAGCAAGATTAGAAGCATTTAATCTTTCCAGCAACTCTACCAAAAGTTTTTGACATGTAAATGAACAAGCCAATGTAATTATTTTTTCATCAACTCGACAAAGCTTCGACCATTATGCAGGTATTGCAAAAATCCATTTACGAACCATTAAAGCTTTATGCATTTCCTCACATGAAAGCTTAACTGTGTCTTACAGCCCATTATTAAAGACAGTTGTTTTCCAAATTCAGCCTTATATTTAATATATGATATATTTTTGTAAGATTAAAGTATTTTTGTTCTTGGTATGTGATCATCTAAATATTAGTATCAATTTGTGTTCTTTATTTATGACTGGCCCATAATGAAATTCATTTAGTTGAATATCAATTACAGCAAGTGGTATGCCAGGGGCAAAACATAACTATTAATTAGCAGCCAGCAACCTTCCAACTTTTTTCATAACACTAGCTCTGTTGATCATTATAGCCACAATGTCGCTGTGTAGATGAAGACTATGGACTTAAAGTTTTTTTTTCTAACAGTTCAATTCACTTTTCTATTGGCATTGTTATTTGCACTACACCTAAACTTCAAAAGTTTGGCCATAGTTTTGGCTATGAACATGAATATTTATATTGCGATAAGTGATGCCCATTAGTCAGACAAAGACAAAGAAAATCTCTCTCCTACCCTGAACTCCATGTTCTCGCGTGATTTAAATTGTTGAACTAAACCTAATCATATTTTTTGCTGTACTCTACTACATGATTACGAATTTTGTTTACTGAAATTGATTTCTGAATCCCACAGCAGTTAAAGTGGCATGCAATTCTTTTGAATAATCACAATAAATAAAACCTGTCAGACACCTTAAGGTGAGCAAACTTAGCATGAAGTGTTTTATCTTCACTTTTATAAATTGAAAAGTATTCTGTTAGTGGTTTAGATTTCTTTTTTGGTGGTTTACCTTCACATTATGCACCGACAACAAAAAGTTCTTTTGTTGAGCAACGACCGATTTTTAAAATCTTCTTGCAGTTTGGCATTTTACACATCATTGTCTGGACTTTCTCATCTTTCCAAATAACTGAGTTACTTTTAATTGTAAAATCCACATATGTCATGGTTACTTAATTTTAATAGTCTATCTTAGTTTATATAAGAAACCTTTTTTTTTTCAATTTAAAAAAAGTTTATTTTGCAGAATTACAGAACATAACAGAACAACTAACAATGGTAACTAAGCTATTAAAATGTAACTACTGTAAATATTTAAAAAATATTTATGTAAATAACTTTTTATAAACAACATAAATTTGTATTATATAACAAATTATTATTAGTATAAACCATATTATATAATAATCTAAAGTGTATCGCTAGCGCCTCAAACTTGTTAAAATTTTAATCAATGTTATTTTAAAGCTTATTAATCTTTTTTATAAAGAAAATTGTGTTTTAAATTTTTGAAATGTGTATATACTATCTTTTATAAAGAAGATAGTATATTAAATTTTTAAGTTGTGTATATGCTAACTAACATAATATATTGCAAAAATTTTCAATTTTTTTTTCTAAATAAGCTTATTTAGAAAAAAAAAGTATACATACAAACATACAAATACATACAAACATCTATAAGTGTAAATGTCTTCAGCAAATGTTGAGTTTGTAATAAAACCGTGTATAATAAATTTATAAATTTTTAAAATTTTATTTTAAAACTTAGAAATCTTTTTTGCTATACTATTATTTTTTTGCTATAAATATATAAGCAAGATTGAAAAAATTTTCAAAGTTATTATGCTATGACGAGGTAGTAAACTCCCAAAATGACAATGATGACAGCCCACTAAACCACCAAGCAATTGATGATATGGATTTAGAAAAAAAAAACTATAAATCTCTTATAAGCTCTATGTATGCGGAAAAAGTGCGCATGTTAATTTGTTTGTTTTTATAGCAATTTTTCAGAATGAATTATTTTAATAAAAAATATTGAAGTAAATAAGGAAAAGGTATAGAAATGATCAATGTGGTATAGATAAGTATATAAAGGCAGGTTTAGTAAAGACGCATATTTTACAGGTCCGGAAAGCTAGGATATATATAAAAGGAAAAAGTATAAAAAAGGTCGGTGTGGAATAGACTTAAAAAAACCTGTATTTTTACGGGTCCAGTCAGCTAGTAAAATATAATTGTATACTTTATTTAAAATAGAATACATTTGCATCGTTTATTTGAAATAAAATATATTTGCATAATTTATTTGAAATAAAATATATTTGCATGGTTTATTTGAAATAAAATATATATTTGTATACTTTATTTGAAATAAAATATTACTTCAATTGGATTTTTTCAATTATCTTGCACTACTGACTTCTCATATATAGAAGAAGAAAGGTTACCAATAGTTAACCAAGAAGGTTACCTTTTTTATTAATTTCAATAAAAATGAAAATTCTAAAACACTAAGCTTGCACTGTCTACTCAAGTTTGAAAGAATGTTTTCTTTTATTTGATCTTGTCTGTAAAAAGTCAGAAAAAAATTAAAGCATCCAATATATAAAGGTTACCAAGGTTACCAATACATAAAACACTATCAAAAATAAATACTTAGCATTTAAAAAATGCTTAAAAAAAGTGAAAAAAATTACAGTTTTAACTGGCCTTACATGCACAGGTTTTTAGTGAGCCATAAATTTGTTAGAGGTTATTGCTATTTAAAACCCTGTGCATGTAAGGAAGTTAGCCAAACCACAGATGCTACCAAAACCACAGAAAAGTAATTCCACATCAAACCACCATGTCCATTAAACCATGTGTCTTTTTTTTGTGTTATATTTTGACACATTCCTAATTATAAAAAAATATTGCATGCAAAATTTCAGCTAAAAATGTTGAGCAGTCGACGAGATACTGCAACTTTAATATTGACCTGGTTTTCCAAAATGATCCGGTTTTCATAACATTAAAAAAAAATATTTTTCTTAAAAAAATATGAAAATAAACATATATAATGTTTTTTTGATACTGAACTCAATAAATATACTTAAAAAGCTAAAATATAAAAGGAACATGCTTAAAAGTTAATAAAACAACTAGTTTCTATAAACCAACTTTGAGGCCCAATATCTCAAAACACGCCCATCAAATTTTTTTTTTTTTGCTGTTAATATTTTCAGCTGCTTGTAATCTTACAAGGCACAAAAAATCTAACTGGAAAAACAACTGAAACATATGGAACTTTAATTTCAAAGATATATCAATCAATTTCCCCAAAATATTTATAAAAATAAAAATAAGTGAATTGTAATTTAAAAAAATACTTAAATATACAAGACATTTTAAATGTATCGAAGATATCAGTTATTTTGACTGTGTTTGTAATAGTTCACAATATTGTTCAGAGTACCAGGTAGATTTGTTACACCAGTAATTTTGACGACAATAAAATACATCTTAAGAGTCGAGGTAGCAAATTGTGGTCTTTTTTTAACAAATAAAAGTCTCTTTCTTCCCCTTTATATATGCCCCAAATATTTTAATTACATAATAATATTTTTAAAATTTCATTTTGATTAAATTATTTGATTAAACAAATTTTAAAAAATTGTTTTAGACTTAAAAATAATAAACTTTAGCTTTTAGACTTTTACCTTTCACTTCAAGTTTAACTAAATATGAATCAAAAAGGTATATTGGAAATTGTTAAAAAATGAATGATATTTTTATCTAACAAGCTTTGCTGATGATATATCACTATAATCAGTTAAATATTAGACAAATTCAAACTGAGTTTTTTATATTTGAAAAACAAAAAAATATTTTGAATTTTTTATAGAAAATTCCTCGAGTTCAAATTTAATAATTTCAAAAGCAATTTTCTAACAAAAGTATTTATGAAACTGACAATCAAGTTGAGAAAATCAATTAAACTTCCTGTCTTGATTCAACACCAAGTCAAGACTCTGGTGACTTTGACTTCTCTGTACATACTATGACTCAGAAGGTGGAAGATCTATAAACAAAAAAGCATTTTACATTGATACTGAGCTTGAATGCTTTTTAGCAGCTCCTATGGTAAATTTAGGCACTGATCCTTTGCCATGGTGGAAGAACATGACAAGCTACTATCCAAAGCTGGCTTTTTTTGTCAGGAAAGTGTTTTGTATTCCTGGATCATCAGCATCATTTGAGAGAGTTTTTTCTGAAGCTGGCCAAGTTGTCACTTGGACAAGATCAAATCTCAACAACACAAATGTTGAGAAGCTGGTTTACATGGTACAAAACGATCCACATGTAAAACATAATTTGAAAATATAACAGAAAGTCAAGGAATTACAAAAACATTTCAAAAATAACTTTAAAAAGGGTAAAGAAGTAATAGTTAACAACATTTTTGAAATAAATAATTGTTCTAAAAAATTTATTATCTGTTTTTAATTTCTTTTCTATCCCTCAAAAAATATGTAATGCTAGTATTTAGTAATACTTATTAGATTTTGGAAACCTTTTTGCAAGAAGTGTTAAGTTTTTTGTATGAAACTCATGCAGAGACAAATACTCTATCCAAAAAAAAAGCAAAAAATTCTATGATTAATGATACCATAAAATTATATGAATGGTCAAAACCAATTATAAATTAAAGTTTAACTTCGTTTCTATTCGTTTCTATATATTTTTTTATTATAAGAATATATTAATTCATTTACAAAATATAACTATTCATATAACAAAGTTATACAAATACTAATATTCAGAATGAATATTAGTATTTGTTGAATCCACAGACTATTCTTTTATGTACTTTCTTTTAGCACTAATTCACTTAATCACCTTTCTCTTTGTTCTATATTGCTCTCTTTCATCTCAAGACTTTTCAATGTCATTTTATCTCAAAAATTAGGCTCCAGAGACTTCTGGAAAATCTTTAAAAGTGTCTGTAATAAGGGCAAATCTGTTATTCCTCCTTTCTTGTATGGTTCACAGTTTGCTACCTCACTCAAAGACTGAATTGTTTGCTAAAAACTTTTCATCAATCTTATCTCTTGATTTTACTCATCACATTCTAACTGATATAGTCAACAAACAGGTTGATTTATTGCATGTCATTCTCGTATCATTCCAACTTCTGTATCTAAAGTAATTTCTTACTCAGACTCTTCTACAGATTGTTGCCCGGACAACATATCTGTTACAGTCTTGGTTTGTTGATCTTTTTTTGTTTCTTTTTTCTGATATTTTAATCGATTTAAAATGATTTTTTTTTTATTCATTTTATTTATGCCATTCATTAACTTTTTTTTTCATTGCTTCTTTACTTTCAAAAATTTTGGTTTCTTTTTTTCTTTTAAAACATTTATTTATTCTTTTTTTTTATTGATTTTATTTTTTGTTTAATTTATAAATGTTTTCTTTTTTCCTCTTTATAAAAGTTATTTCTAACTAATAGAAAAAAAGTGGCCATTATTTGTGATGTCATTGCAAAGAGTATATAAACTATATAAAGTATTATAAATTTTTTTCTAGCCCCTCTGGCATCAACAACTGCTAAATCTTATAATTTTGCCAGGGCCAGGTTTGCAAAAAGTCTCACTTTTAGCTGAATACATTTTTAGCCTTACTACAGTCACTTACTACTAGATACTTAATTTTTTATTTTATTTTTAAATTTGAGTAAAAATTAGGAAACTTAAAATGTAATTAACTAATCATATATATTTCAAATTCAAAAAACTTCTATTTTTGTAAAAAACTTATATTTTTGTATTTACCTTTATAACATCTAATCTCTCACTATCACATCGCAAAAATAAAGTCGAGCTATATGATAAAGGCAGCGAAGTTGACAAGGTTGCAAACTCTTGAGCTAGTCTGCGAGCTCGTAAAGAATTTGATGTGTCATTATTAGTACTTGCAGCAGAGCGTACAGTAGATTCATAATAAAATGGAACATTAAATTGGAGTATACCGTTTCCCTTAATTGTAATAATTTCATAAGTATCTAAAAACAAAACAGTCATCTTTTTTTGGAAACTTTCGAACAATCATGCATAAATGAACATAAATAAACAAAACTAGATAATGAATAAAATAACAAGTAACAGAATAAAAATTATGAATAAAGTTTACAAGTAAAAAAAGTAAAATAGATTATTATCATTAATAAATTAATTGAAAATAAAACTGACATTAACCTAAACTTAATTACAACTAAAATTAAATACAGGGTTTTGCAAAGTTGTAAGTGCATGTTTGCAAAGTTATAAGTGCATGTTTGCAAAGTTATAAGTGCACGGTTGCAAAGTTATAAGTGCGCGCTTGCAAAGTTATAAGTGCATATACATTTTTTTGGAAATTATTTTTTTAGCTTTAATAATATTGCGCAAAATATTAAATTACAGCATAGCAATCAATAAGTGTTTTTTTTTTTTTTTTTTTTTTCCTAAAAAGTGATTAGTTAGTGAAAGTTCTTTACATTTTTACTTAATTTAGCATATTGTTATATATCAATAACTTTTCTAGATTAAATACTTTCATAATTTTTAAAAAATAGTATACATTATTTAATCATAATATTTTAAAAAGGCATGCAAAAATATACATTATTAAAAAAAATAAACAAATCATTTTAAATATTTTATTTAGATAAATTCTTCTCTTCTTATTTTTATTGCCTTTTCCGACCATCTTCTCATATTTATATAAAACACATTGCACTGTTGACTATAATTATTATCAGGTAATAAAATATATTCTAGAGTTTCTTCAACAGTCATATCGGGATTAGCATTTCTCGTGAATTTGAAATTGGATTTTTAACATTGAAAAGAACTCTTTGATTGGGTTCAATTCAGGGGAGTATGGTACTAAAAACTAGTGAGTAATATTTTTTTCTCTTAGTAATTGAAGTACTGCAGCTGTTTTATGAAATTTTGCATTATCTAGGATAAGAATTTTATCTGGATTTACTGTAAAGAATGGTACCAGTTTGTTGTTGATGAAATCAATAAATGATTGTGTATTGTATACGCCGCTTTTGTATTGGTAACATTCAACTCCTAAATTGGAAATTAAGCACACGAGGCTAATATTTTGTCCTTTATTTGCAGGAACTGTCAAGTACGCTTTTGTATCTTTTGGAGAATAGCCATATGAGCGCACTGTATGTTTATTAAATCCAGTTTCGTCTAAAAAAACCAAATTTGAATCAGCAATTCTAGCAACTTCTGCCGCAAAAATTGATCTCTGATTTATTCTTTATGGTGTTTCTTTCTTGAGGAATGATTGCTAATCTTTTTTGTGTCAAAATTAATTTCTTTAATTTACGGGAAACAAACGAGATTGAAACATTTTTACCATGTTGTTCTAAAATTTGCATTTGAATTTCTTTTTGAACTACGGCATTGTTACAGATCACGAAATTAAACATTGTCTGTTCAATGTTGTATTTATAGAATTTTTGATTTTATACTTTTTTTTTCTTTTTACTGTAGATGGTATATTATTATCACTATTGGTATATTATTATCACTAACACGACTAAGGGTATATTATTATCACTATTTTTTATAACACGACTAACACCATTTCGATTTAAATTACAAGCGTTGGATATTTCCTTGATTGAATATTTTTCACTATTTCTCATTGAAATAATCGTATTTTTAGTATCTTCTGTAATTGTTTTCTGTACTTTTCTTTCCATTAATATTTAAAATATAAGAGTTAAAATTAATTTTATAAATGTACTTATAACTTTGCAAACGTGCACTTATAACTTTGCAAACGTGCACTTATAACTTTGCAAAACCCTGTAATTATAGAAAAAAAAAAACAACTAAATAATGACTCGATTTTGTTTAAAAAAGGAAAAAAAACTAGGTTACCTAAAAATTAAACAAAGCAATTATATAAAATTGAAATAAAAATAAATATATGAAAAACTCAAATCAATACACAAAAGTTCAAAATTTACCAAATTGCAGTTGTGACATTACAGCTAGATATAACTGTTCGCTGCTTTTTGCATTATTTGATTCTGATGTACAAACAACCACAGTGTCACTTTTATTTGCTGCACTCAGCTCTTTATTATCTGCTTTATGCTGCACAAAATCTGATGTCAATTTTATATGATAAAGCAAAATGTTCAACTCTTCAGTGTCAGTCTCAGAATATAAATTTTCTTCGCCTATATAAATTTTCACACGTGATTTAGAGATCATTCTTTTAGTGTTTATTCTAAATTTAAAAGAAAGTTTAACACTTATTAAATATATGTATAACTTATTTTTATCAAACATTTAATATTAGGATTTAATTTCAGATTTTTTTCTTTAACGAGCTTAAAAGTCTTTGAAACAGAAAAAATTCAATCATAATTGAAATCAAAAGTTTTGCTACTAAAAGATTTTTACAACATTTTGTAAAAATAAAAAACTATTAAAATATATTATATTTAATTAATTAAACGAAAATATTAAAAAGTAATATTAAAAATATTAAAAGCTTCTGAACAATAAATAATAAAACTACTGAAAATAATAAAAATATAAAAACTTGAAGATTTAAAGATGTTATTTTAAACAAAAAATTTAAATTTTTTTGATTTACTTTGCTAGATATATTTCTTCTAGTTTGTTAGTTAAATGTTTTTTAGTTAAGAGAAGTTAGTACAAAAAACCTTGGAGAGGTGAATAACATTAAAAAAAAAAAATTAAAAAAATAGAGTAGTAGCATTAAAATCTCATTTAAAATAATATAGCACATATTTTGAGAATACTATTAGAGATAATTGAATACCATTAAAGATAATATCATAGAGATAAGCACATACTTTGAGAATACTAGTAGAGATAATTGAATACCCTTAGAGATATCATAGAGATAATTAAATACTATTAGAGATATTTGAACACAAAAGCAAAAATAAAAATATCAACAATTAATTTTACTATTAATTAGTTATGGTATTAATTTTAATATCAACATAACAATAACAATAGTAATTAAATTAACATATAAAACTTTTTATTTATCTAATAAATAGATATAAAAAGTTTTGAAATTAAAACTAAAGTTAAGAAGTTAGTAGAAGTGTAAAAGTAAAAAAATGACTAAAAGTAGTTAAAGCCTGAAAAACTTTTCAAAAAGCAAAATCCAAAAAATTTAACGTGCCCTTAATATTAAAAAGTAAATCAAAAAAGTCAATCAACTTAGTTCTCAAAAAAAGCAATTTTATATTGAAAACTTTTTAGACAAAAAATGTTTGGAGACTTTGATGGACCTAAAAATAGCACAGGGATGTTAAAATTTGGTAAATATTTTTGAACCAAAATAGCAGGTTATAAAAAACCTTAAATTTGCTCTTAAAAAAATGACCATAGTGGACTAAAAGATAGCAATAAACAATAAGAAAAAAAAAATTTAATGTTGGTGTAAATTAAATGGTAAATAATCAAATTAAAAACTTAACCAGTTTACATAATTTAACATAATTTAAAGAGTCATTCAATGCCAAATGGACCAAAATTTTAGGATTTTAACATAGACCACCTCAGACTTTAATGAAATTAGGTTTGTTAATATCAATAAGAAAAGCAATTCCTAAAAATTTCAGCTTAAAATCTTTTGTGGTTCATGAGATACGGTCATTTGAAATTTCTGATTTTTCCAAAAATAAAAACTTTAGTTGGAAAAATATATTTTGTTCATACTTTGAAGCTCGTTATTTTAAAAACAAAATTTCAGAAAAACTTTTAACTCTAGGCTTATTTTAATTTTAATTATAATTTTAACTCTAGGCTTATTTTAAAATGTTGACAATAATACAACTCTAGGCTTATTTTTAAATGTTGACAATAATACAACTCTAGGCTTATTTTTAAATGTTGACAATAATACAACTCTAGGCTTATTTTAAAACGTTGACAATAATACAACTCTAGGCTTATTTTAAAATGTTGACAATAATACAACTCTAGGCTTATTTTAAAATGTTGACAATAATACAACTCTAGGCTTATTTTAAAATGTTGACATTGAACTTTTGAATGTCACATTTAATCCATAATGACTACATAAAAAATCTAAAAAATCGTTTGCAAATATATCATGTTCAAATTTAGATTAAAACTTATATACCAGATTATAAGAGCTCACTTGTCAACAGAATGCACAAGTTGATGATGAAATTAAAAAAAAATTAATATGTAATAAACAATCAATACAAACATTGAATCTTTTAAATAAGTATACTTTAAAATCAATTTTTTCTAAAAAACTATATAAGTCTAAAACAAATAATAAATTTTCTCAGGTGAATTGATAGGATTTGTTAGTGATTGTAAACTGGCCGCTACAAGTCTATTGATATAGCCCCTAGCGCCGTCATAAGCACTCTTTCTATGTGATGTAGAAAAAAAATGACATACTGCAGATACTGTTTTTATAATTTTTGTATTGTGAATCTGCATCATCACTAAAATAAATGCAATGGTTAAAGTAAGGCATCAACTCTTTTGAATCTTTTATTACTTTATAAATGAAACAATGAACAGAGTTTGTATTGTGTTGCAAATAATCTGAAATGATACAAAGACTTTTACATTTTATCATACTTTCTTCGATATAGTAAATAACAAAAAGATGCAATTTTGCTTGACTGTTAAAAAAATCTTTGCATTGGAAACTTTGTACTGCATCTTGAATAAAAAAACTGTAATTTTCAGCAAAGTCTAGTAATAATAAAATATGATTACTTGGTAATGTTATTTTTAGATGCTGCAAATATGCTGCTTGATTTTTGGCTATATAATGATGGTTTCTTAATTGGTCTACTTGTTGACAAGTATCATCCACTGGAAGAGTTACTTGAACTTTATCATATTTTTTGTTGGCTTTTTGCCACTGATTAAAGGTGATTTCTTCATGCTGTATCTCTACAACATAATATATAATATTATACAAAAGTACAACAATAACTCTATTTTTATTGTTTATAATGCATTTTGGGTAATTTTCATTGCTCTGATTTTGTAACTTGCTCATGAGTTTTTTTTTTTTCTGAAATCAGTGTAATGAAGTCTATAAAATGAGAAGAAAAGAAAAATATTATTAAAATCAGTATCCTAGGTTACCAGTGGTTTAAAGTGGAGGCACATTTTTTTAAGTTTTGGCTGCACCCATTTTTAGAAGTCCATAATTTTTTACTGAATTGTACCTTATCAGTAAATTTCTAAATATTTAAAAGCTTACCATTTATAAAAACTAAAAAAATATGTTTTTCTTAAATTGCAGATTTTGTATATCATCAAAAATCAACTTTTTATATTTGCAAACAATTTTTTAGGCATATGGATAAAACACGACATTCGAGAATTTAATGTCAAATAGAGCTCCAAAGTATGAACAAAACATATTTTTGCTACTAAAGTTTTTATTTTGGAAATATCAGAAATTTCAAATGACCATATCTCATAAACTGCAAAAAATTTATGCTGAAATTTTTAGGAACTGCTTTTTTCATTGATATTAACCAACCCACTAAGTTTTATCAAAACTTGATGGGGTCTAAGTTGGACCTTGGTCCAGTAGGCATGTGCCAACTGGACCAAGGTCCAACATGAAAAGAATCTTAATTAAAATAAATTTGGGATAATTTTAAAGGTTTTATTTTGAAGGTTAGATAACCTTAATAAAGCATGTGGCTTGTCTTGTCCCCATACTTGATAAGCATATCTGAGCTGCGATCCAAACAAATATATAGCATGATAGATATTTATATTTTAAAGAAAAACAAAAATAAAAAATAACAATTAAAGGAAGAAAAATTTACTTAAGTCTTTTGTTGTATGTTTCCACACAGGTTTTTAGCTTTAGTAACAAGTTTTGAATTGTGGAGGATTTTTCTTTTGACATACCTTTCACTCCAGTTAGAAGCTTTAGAGTAATTGTAGAAGAAGCAAGTGACCTAACTAACTTTAATATAGCATGATACAACACAATATGATGTGACATATCGAAAACTAAAATATATTTGTTTTAAAGTTTGTTTTACAACAACAATACTCACTAACTTAGAGTTACCTTAGCAACACAACAACAAAACAACTTAAAAGCAAGCTTTAAGAAAATATAAAACCTTTTTTTCAGCATTAATGTTAAAAAACTGATTAATGTAGCAAAATTGGAATGAAAAAATATTTAGGAAAAAGTAAAAATTACTGAAATTATTTTTAAGCTTAACTTTTATGTTATTATGATACGTCTTTTAATTACATGTATTTAACTTTTAATTACATGCAGTTAAGAATTGTTTTAAATTTTTGACAAACCAATGCGGTTTATCTTTTTTTTTGGACAATACTTGAATAACCTTTTACAATTGTATTTTAATTCTAATACACTATATTAAATAACTAAAGCCTAACAAGTTTTTTTTCCGAATTAAATAATTTAACATGATTAGAATTGGTAAAATTCTGAAAGTGTAAAAAGTCTCTTATATTACAAAAGTGCATAACAAAAGTTAACATTAATAGTATATTTCATAGGTATGATATATTATCATTATAAAAGTAGCGAAACTCTATACTTTTATCGTTATAAATATTGATTTAAATAAACACTTCAACACTTAGTTATGTAAAGTATGTAAATTAAATTATTTAGTATTTTTACGTTAAACTTGAGTACCTTCCTTTTCAGACAAATAAAATTACAAATATATGAGTTTTCATCAAAAATGATGTTTTAAAATCCTTTCTCAATGTAATTTTCAATATTTACTTAAATATTTTTTATACCCACTCTGTGGAATTCAATCTTTGTATTGGATGTACTACAATTGACTTATTTTTTCATGCAGCAGCGTTGCTTGTTTCATGTTTCATGGTCATATCAATGCTGACTAATTTTTTCAGTGAGCGCTACATGTTTAACAACCATTTACACATAGTGATTATAGACTGCCCTTGTTTATATGACAATATTTAAGACAAGCCTACCATAAATACGTTAAAAAAAACATCCAGCTGTTTCTAAGAACTCTTGGAATGCTTAAAGTTCAGATGACAATGAGTCTTTAATGAGGTGTAGTCTAAATTCAGAGATCATACGATCAACCAGATCTTATTTTTCCTATTCAATAATAGCAAAAAATTATAATATTCATTTACACACATTTCCAAAACTGAAGTATCCAAGCATATCAAGCCATTGTTTCAAAGTTAACCTCAAATTTTTACACATTATTCTGTTAATAAATTGGCACCTTTTAACATACCTAGCTAAACAAAATAACAAAAAACTTTACACTCTACCCAAATCTACAGCTGACATAAGCAGAACAAGTAGACCAGACATCCAGTACCAATTTTCTGTCCTAATGTACAATGGATTTCAATGCTTCCTAACACTGTTGTATTTGCAAATAAACTTCTTTGCACATTTTTTGACTATAAAAATGCTTTCATAACTCTTTTTCTATTTTTATTCCAATTTATCAGATGTAGATTTATACCAAATAAGTTACAATGTAAAAAACCAAAAAAAATTAAAAACAAAGCTTTTTATTGATTACCAATTTCTTTTTCATTACTGCTGTCTTGATATTTGATTAAAAAGTGTTCATGTTAAATGCTCTAATGGAAATCTAATTTGAAAAACATTACCTCTAGTTATACCAGCATTACATTACATCATTGTTTAGTAACATGACATCACCAATCTTTCCATAGAAACAAAGCAAAGGGAAACATTTAGAGTGAAGATAATATTCTGTGATAAATTAATGAGCCATTTAAATTAATGAGCCAATTAAAAGCCAGAAAAAGAGGTGACACTAAAAAATATTTTTTGCTAATGTCAGCTCTCAACCCTTAAATGTGTTCTATGTAATAAAATAATACTGGCTTAAAAATTTTTTTTGAATAAAAAGTATTTTTTATATATCACAAATCAATTCAGTATATTTCAGTAAAATTACTTGTATATAAAATAAAATAATCTTTTCTTTAGAAAATATGCTCGCAGAAAGTTCAAACTATCTAAACATTGATCACTTAATCGACTTCGTATTTTACTGCAAAATAGTCATGGACAGAAAATGCCCTTTCTAAGTATACGCTCATTAGTTTAATTATTAAAAAATCATGAACTTTCAGATTATCACCAGTGTACTTTCAAATAATGACATTTCTTTTAATAATTTAGAACTCAAAAGTTTGCTTTATTTTAACAAAGAATTTCTGGCTGTTGCAAGAAAAATTTTTTTTAAGACTTGTTGACTTGTGAAGCACGATAGTTGACTAATGCCTCTGGCAGATATACTGAAAGATTTCTTACAATAAATACAATACAGTATACTTTAATTGTTGTTAACACCTGTGACTCACTTGAATCAACTTTCCTAAGATTTTTGGTAAGTGGTCTTGCCCATTTATATATTTTAGTTTGTACTAAATCTAGAAAATCTAAATTAACCAAAATATTTCAAACTAAAAGTTTTAAATAAACCAAATAGTACAAATCAGTATGATTAATAAATAAATAAAACATAAGTAATATAAAAACAATATTTTATTGATAGACATTTTCTAAATAAAAACTACACAATAGTTACTTTAAAATAATATGATCAGAATTTTAAAAATTTTAATTTGAAAATTGAATATTTTTATTTTTGCATGCTTAACTAACAAAAATGCTTTGCAAAAATGCTTGGGACTATAACTTACTGCCACTTAATCTAGCACTGATGTAAATTACAGCAGTGTAATTATATCATTACAGTAATCTATAAATTTGTACAAACTGTTAAAGTTATAACTCTAACTGCTTGTTCATGACATTTTTAAACATAATGTGAAAAAGTTATTCAAAACTTATTTTAAAACAGCTTTGAGTCACTTTTTTCACAAAAGAAGCTAATTTAGTTAGAGTTGAGTATTCTGGTGGCTCATGTTACTTTTTTGTTTCACTATGCAATATGGCTGATTTCGGAGGAAGTGATGCTGATTCATTAAAGTTAGCATTAGACAGTGTAATCATTATCAACTATGTCACTGAATCTAAAATTCTTTTATCCACTTATTACTGTACAAAATTGATTTCAGCAACAGCTGATGGAGCAAATGTCAACATGGGTGTTCATAATGGGGCTTTAACACAATTAAAAGCAACTCGCCATTGGCTGGTAAAAATACATTGTGTAAATCACAGGCTGGAACTAAAGGAGTCCTGCAAACATGCAGCTGCAGCCCTATCAATTCAATTTCACACACTAAATAAAATTCCTGTAACTCGATTTGCACTATATTGACAAAGAGGCTTTACAAAACTGCTGCATAACTGGCCATCTTTTTTAGTTGCTTTACCAAATGCACTTGCAAGTAAACAATGTTAAAGAAACAAAACAAGGTCTAAAATTGCAGGGGATTTTGAAAAAACTAACAAATTACACTTTTTTATGTTAAGTCAAACTACACTTTTTTATGTAAAGTCTAACAAACTACACTTTTTTATGTTAAGTCAAACTACACTTTTTTATGTAAAGTCTAACAAACTACACTTTTTTATGTAAAGTCTAGAGCCTATTGCTTGATGCAATGATGCCGTTGTCACTTTTTTTCGAAAAAAATGTTATGTTGCCACACAAAGTTCAACGTCAAATTGATTTGACAATCGCTCAATTTCATACTGCATTGATAATACTTTTGTTTTATTTGACCCAATTTATAAGTATTTATCGTAATTTTTAAAATCTCCAAGTCTTGAGATATTTCTAAAAAAAATTCTAGGATTTAGGCCTTTTCAGGTTATGCAGGATCCTAGGATTACAAACCATAGTGCAGACCTTCAGACGATTTGAAACAAAACTGTATAGAAACTACTGTAAAGTACAAAGAAAGGGGGAACTTTTAGGGAAGTTTTTTGTCTTCGAATAATTAATGAAGTAAGAAATTTCTTTAATGATTGTGTACTATAAAAAATGTTTTTTATAATACACAATCATTAAAGAAATTTCTTACTTCATTAATTTATTTCAGCCCATTTTTAAAATGCCTTATCAAAAATATCTAATCTAAAAAACTTTTGTCAAGTTGTCACAAAAACAAATTAAATATGTGGTCAAAAATAGTGTGTGATAACACAACTTTCATGTCTAAGACTATACATACATACATACATACATACATACATACATACATACATACATACATACATACATACATACATACATACATATATTTATTTATATATTAGGGTGGCAAATTAAAAAATATATTTTTTAGAGGCCCTTGAACATTTAACAAGTCCCTAATATTATTAATAAAAAAAAAATTTATAAGAAATATAACTACTCACTAGAATCATTTCTAAGAAAGCCAGAGAGCACTTCTGTAAGACATGAGTTTTCAAAGATCATACAAGTTTCATGTAAAATCTTATTTTCTTCACATAAAAAAGCTGCCAGTACCTAACACAAAACTAAAAATTATTATAATTTAAATACAGGTTTTATCTAAGCATCTAGCATATTTTGTTATATATATGATTACACATACAGATAACAATATATGTTTAACAATAATTTGTTTGTCCTTGTTTAACAAGATTTGTTTTAGATTTTAGAGATGAGCCGCAAATAAAAAAACGATCTTAAAAATAAGATCTCCATAATGCAACTGACAATATGGAGATAATGTAATACCGACTATATAAAATCTTATCTGACAAATTTATAAGTTTGATTATAATAAAAAATATTATATCTGGTAAATACATTTTTAAATTTGTAAACATAATTAGATATTATTTATTGTTCAATTCAACAGGAATGTATTTTTTTAAATTAAAATATCAAATTGATACATTGCGCCTTAGATTGTTATTGGTTACCGAAGTCTTTACTGCAAAAGGTTGGATATAAATCTAATCTTTTATACTTGTAACTAAAACATTTTTTATTTATATTTTAAAACATATTTTAATTTGTTCATCTATCTTTTTAATATATTAGTAATTCCTCCTTTTTGCTTCTAAAATGAATGAAATGGATTATTTAATCTTGAAAGTTCAAAAGATAATACATATTTTAAAAAAACATATGGCCTATAGAAATTCTATAAAATTTCTTTTAAATCTCTTTTAATTTTTTTGTTAAATTCCTGAAAAACTTTTTCTTCTACTTTTTTTTTCTATAGTTTTATTGCAAAGACAGGCTAAAAAGCAAAAAAGAGGGATTTTAAAAAAATTTATTAGATAGAAGAAGAGGTAAAGATTTAAAAAAATTTACATTTTGGGAATGCTCAACCTGTTGTTAGAAGAAATATTTTCTTAAAGAGATGTTCTAATGAATTAGTGATACTTCAACTTATTTCAAGAAGTGCAAAAAAAAAAGGTTACCAAAAGAACTCAGTGATAGTTTACATCGCTTTAGAACAAACCCAAGATAATATTCAAAATGAAAATAAAATTGTGCCAGACACGCACATAAAATAAAGATTTACAAGGTATAATTGTCAACACCCACCACCAACAACAACAATAAGTGCCCACCCACCTTTTTTCTAAAGTACCTTTTATTTTAAGATAAAATTCTAGATATAGAGGACTTTTTTAAAAAAAATAAATGATCGTACCCCTCCACTTCAAAACGCGTGTCGATGGCCATGTGGCACACCTAAAAAGCTTTTTTTTCATGTTCTAACATCGTTTTGATGTTCAAAACAATATGTTAGAACATGATAATTAACATATTAAATTAATATTATAAAAATGTTACACTTTATTTCAAAGAATTCAGAAACTTTTTTTTTTTAAATTTTTTTAAATATAATTAGCTTTTTAAAATATTCACACAAAATTTGTATCAATTTGATCAATACGCCTCTTTTATTGAAAATAGCAATTGTGATGGAATTTTTAATTATTGTAAATATTTCATATTTGTTCAAAAATTATTTAAGCAGTTTATAAAAAAAAATTAAAATAAATAAATAAATAAAATACTAAATTGTTATACATATCAATTTGATACAATGCACCTTCCCGAGTTACAAAATGATGGCGCCTGACAGAGGGTTAAATGATTTTTTTAACATTTTAGAAATGCGCTGAAAAAAGAAACACTAGCTAAACTTAAACTAGAAAGAAAAATAAAAAAAAGTAAATAATTAAATAAGAAAACAATTTCTTACAAAAAAGAAAATATATAAGCACTAAAAAAAAACTCAAAAAACTGAAACTTGAAGCAAAAAATTACTTTTTGTCAGGTTTTTATTTGCGTCTAAAATAAATAACTTTGCATTAAAAATAAATTACTTTGCATTCAAAATAAATTACTTTGCGCTTAAAATAAATTGCATTTAAATTAAATTTATTTTTTGAAATATATTATTAAAGTAATGCAAAACACTTGTACAAATTACTTCTAACAATTGTTTAATAAATGAACAAATTTAAATTACTAAAAATGAATCAACTAATTAAATTAAATTACTAAAATGCCTTGTGTAAATTATTTTTAAATTGCATAAACATTAATTTGTTTTAAAAAGTTGCAAAAAAAAAAAAAAAAAATGTTTTATACAATTCTTTGTAAAAACAAAAACAAAAAAAAAGTAATTAAAGACATTATTAAAAAGACATAATTAAAAACAAAAAAAAAAAGTAAATAAAGCAATTCAACAACAGAAGATTTAATTTAACTTTTTTTTTTTTTTTTTTTAATTATTCACCTCCCCATAGCCAGAGGGGCCCATTACAGTCAAGGAGGCTACTAATTTTTTTTTTTGTTGTTGTTGTTGTTGTAAATCGTGGTACAACCCTCACTCAACTCTTTAACTCCGAAACACGAACCTTGACAAGCAAGACCGCTGCGCAGATAAATTAAGTTGAGCGCGGTACTTCCAGGGATGTGGTGGGAGTCGAACTCCGAACCTCTCGCTTACAAAGCGAGCGCTCTTACCACTACACCACTACCACATATTAATTAACCGCAAACTAATTTATAACTTAAAAAATTAATCTTTCAAAAGAAGACATGGAAAATAGTTTCAAACAAATTATTATAAACTTATCATTAAAAAAATTTAAATATAACTTTATTTGTTAATTTACACAAAATACGTTTATTTTAAACAATCACTATATTTTATTTAAAGCCTTCATGTAAAACAAAAACTAAATAAATATTCTTAAAACAAAATGTAAAAAAAAAATGTAAAACAAAAACTAAATAAATATCGCAAGATGATAAATAAAAGTTTTTTACAGTTTTTTTTTATGATTTCTTTTTTTGGGTATCGTATAACAATTTTTTTTTTCTTTTGCTGCACATTTTTGATGGAAAAGTTAAATTAATAAAAACAAAATTTGTTTTTTCTTAAATTATTATATTTGTAAATAGTGCGATTATCAAAGGTAATTTTTATGCAAACGTTTTTATGTGATCATCATCCAAGCATCATAAGTTATTTTTACTATGTTAATTACTCCTTTTATTTAACTGCTTAAACGATATCTTTAGACTTGTTTAAATATTAAAAAATTATAAAAAGTGGCTCGACCAAAATGGCTTACCGCTTACAATAAATAAAGCACCAGTTTACGTTTTAAAACAAAGCCTGATATATATATATATATATATATATATATATATATATATATATATATATATATATATATATATATATATATATATATATACATATATATATATATATATATATATATATATATATATATATATATATATATATATATATATATATATATATATATATATATATATAAGGTGGCCCATAAGTCACTTTACATTTAAAAAATTATATTCTCTTTTCAAAATTAAAAAATATAATCTTTGGAAATTTTTGATATAAATTTTATTTTGGATAAGTTTACAACAGAACAATGAATAAAGATAATTGAATTTTACTTTGAAAATGGACGGTCAATTTTGCAATGCAAAGATCCTATATGCGCCATTTTAATGTTCGATATCCCACTAGTATATATATATATATATATATATATATATATATATATATATATATATATATATATATATATATATATATATATATATATATATATATATATCAAAGGAGTACCGTTACATCGACTGAGGGTTTGGGATGGGGCAGCAATCTTTTCTTTCATTATTCTTAGTTTTTTTCTTCTTTTTTCTAAAAAGCGTTTTAGTAATTAATAAAAAGCATAATTTAACATAACAAAATTATGTTTAAAAACCTTAACTATACTTTTTTTCAATAGTTTTCGTACAAACACACACACACCACATCTATAAAAAATATACCTGAAAAATTACCATAAGTTGCATCTCTTCTTTCTTTTTTGCACTTAATGCCATTCCTATATCCCAATTTGATGCCAAAGACCCAGTCCCAAATCCAGTGCCCTTTGCCCAGTAGTGTACATTGTTAGCAGTAATTCCAGTAAAGACGACAGGGTTGCTTAAATAATTAAAAGAATGGTAAAATAAAAGTTTTACTTAAGCTGAAAAATTTATAAAAGTTTTAAATAAAACTTTATTTTATTTAAAAGCATGACAAAATGATCAAGCTACAAAGAAAAAGCCACACAGACAAAAAACTTAAACAATATAAGAAAAAAACTTTTTTTTCTTCATTGAAAATATAGATTATTGGAAATATTTATATAGAAAAATGTAAATAGTTAATAACCAAAAAAGCAACATTTCAAATAAAAAGCCTATAAATAGTAAAAATTTATTAGCAAAAAAGTGTTCAAAAGTTTAAAAGAATGTATGTCTAAAAATTTTTTACTTAAAAGAAGAAAATTTAGCAATAGAAACAAAGAAATTAGAGTTAACTTAGTGCAGACACCACCAGAAACCACCAGACAGACACCACCAGACAGACACCACTAGACAAACACCACCAGATGCAGAGAACAAAACAAAAATGCAAAGATAATACTAAAGAATATAAAAAGAAACAATAACATTAAAAAAAATTTGTCAATTGATGGAAAGGTAAAAAACTAGGGTACTAAAAAGATTGACAAAAACCACAAGAATACTATTAAATAAATGGAGGGGTTTGAGTTTATACTTATTGGTATCCAAACCATGGATACAAACAAGTATGTAAGTAACCATGGTTACAAACAAAACTCATTAAAACTTTACTTGAATCCAGTACTAAAAATATTCAGACCACATGCGAGAATTCTAAGACCAAAAAATTATTTTATCTATTTTTACTATTAATCTATTTTTCTGTGGCCAACCAATAATCCACAAAGCAGGTGTTCTTCTTTGCCTGATTGTGTTTGGATGTGATGACCTCATGGACAACATATTCTAATTTATTAATAGTATTATGAAATAGTTGAGAGGCTACTCAACTATTTTAAAGGTAACACCAAATTTTTTAAGTAACATTTATATTGGTTAGTGACATCAGATGTGACATCACTATACACTAATGTAACTCATGGAAAAGAGGCAAATAAAGATTACTATACAACCAAATGTTTAAATATTAAGTACCTGAACCTACCCTAGTGTACTCACAAACTCTTGTCCCCAGCATTTATTTCTTAGTATTTCTTCACTCTATTTCTTTTCACCTTATCTGTCATTTGTATCTAGATTGTTTGTAAGGAGTTTCATTAGCCTTGATTAAATAGCGGATAGAATGGAGTGCATTTGCTGGATAGTCATCCTTTTTAATAAGAAAATCACAAACATCTTTACTTATGACATTCTGACAATTCTTTGTCAGAATGGATGTCAAAATGGTTCCAATCCTGGTTATATTATGACACCATAATATAACCAGGATTGGACAGGAATGGCGTGTGATCAAACGCTATAACTGACCAAGCAAATGACTTTTTTTTTGTTGACAACTTGACCACGACTGTTTCGATGTTTTGATTTCAGAAATGTGTTGAAACAAAAAAACAACAAGATAAACTTAAACGAGAAAAAAATTGAAAAAAAAAAAAAAAAAAGAAACCAATTCTCTACAAATATACACACACACACACACACACACACACACACACACACACACACACACACACATATATATATATACACACTTACTAAAGCGTGTTTTGATAAGCATTTGCTCACTTTTTCTGCTTACTTTAAGCTATACTGTTTTTTTCGAAAAAGAAGAAAAAACGAAGAATGATGAATAAAACGATTGCTTCCCCATCCCAAACCCTCAGTCAATGTAGCAGCATTTCACTGCGAGTCAGGCTATTTGTCAGTCAATGTATGTACTGAAGCCCCCAGCAGCAGCCTATTTCGATATAAATTGAAATACAACATTTAATTTACACAAAATGTATTCATTTTAAATGATCATCATAAGCAGTTTTTTATTTTCGAGTAAAAACTTTTGAAAAGATCAATGATTAATAGTTATTCATAACAATGGATTTTTATTGCATTTAAATTGTCAAAACATCAAAACAACTGTCAAGTTGCGAAAAAAAAAAACTAAAACGTGGTCATTTACAGTGTGCGATTGCTCTACAAGCCTGTATAACAGGCAAAAATGTAACAATATAACATGTAATTTAGTATCATTAAATAACACGCAAAAATTTGGCTTAGAGTAAAAAACAATCTATGACAGTAATTCAATCAATCTTGGCACAAAAAAAATGGAAGTGAGTACGTAGTATATAGTATATTATTACTGCAAACCAAAACTTAAAGTCCATTTTTGGCAAAATAGACTTTTTTGGTTTAAAATACTTCTTTAATGCACAAAAGTCATCTCACAAAGTATGGAACCAAAATTGATTCAACTTTTGCAACTATGAGTATAATTCAAATATCTTATGTCCTGAAAAAACAATTAAGAGACATCTTTGCTGCAAAACAAAAATCCCTAGTTCATTTTTTGGCAAAAAAAAAAAAAAAAAACTTTTTTGGTTTTAAATAATTAACTGAAAATAAGTAGATTTAATCAAAAAAATCAAAAACGGACTTGACAAAAAAATGGTCTTGTTTTGCAGCGGCAATTTTATAAAGTCCATTTGCATTAATGCCTCTCATAGACTTAAATATTTTATTTGTTATGTTATGAAAAATAGCAACATATTCAGTATTTGGTTTAATTAAGAAGATCAAATGCACTGGTGAATTAAAAACTTTGTGTCTTTTTCTCAGAACAGTAAAAATAGACTTAAGAAAGATGTTTTGTAGCAACAAAATATATATATATATATATATATATATATATATATATATATATATATATATATATATATATATATATATATATATATATATATATGCCCTGTGAATCGGCAGTTTTTGTTTCGAATCGAATCTCGAATCAAACTTGATTTGTGATTCGAATCACTTGATCTTGATTCGTGATTCGAATCAAGTTTCAAATCGACATTTTGAATTCTAAATTTAGGCATTTTTTATTTAATAATACATAATCTCTTTATTGATGCTTCTTGCCCTGGTTAACCTTTTTAATGACTGATTATAAAGGTTTTTAAGGATAAGTAAGGTTATTTCGATAGTGCCAAAGTGCAGAATATCTATACCCACAACAAAAACAAAATAAGTAAAGACTCAATTTCTGAAAATTTTCGAATCGCATCCTGAATAATTTTTTTGATTTGATTCAATTTGAAATTTCAAAGCTTCGCAGGGCCCTAATATATATATATATATATATATATATATATATATATATATATATATATATATATATATATATATATATATATATATATATATATATATATATATATATATATATATATACATATATACCAAAAATAATTTTTGGCCTCAAGGCAAGACCAAGGACTAGCCGCTCTGCTTCTTTCCAAGGATTTGAAAGAAAAAAAAAAGAAAAATTGTAAATGCTATATAGGTAATTAAAATTACAACAAAATTTCTTTAAATTTTTTTAATTTTTTTTTTTGTAACCAATTGCTTATATTCTCCAAATCTAAAACAGATATGTTGCACGTACGACCTGATATTTTTGTGGATGTAGAAATTTTTACCTGGTGCATGGGGATGCATGATTCTGACTTTTATATCAAGCTCACTTACATCTTCAGCAATCCCTACCCACCAAAATCCGTCATAAAAACATGCATTATAATCCATTTTTTTAATGTTTAATGAAATCTCTTTATTATGTTTGCTTTTTGGAATGATATCAAACATTTCAATACATGTATCAATACTTTTTTATTTATAACTTGTAGTGTTTGAAGCAATTGGAATAAAATGATGATACACCCTTGTGTCAGGAACTGTTCTTCCAACTAAATATTTTTTTTCTAACTGTGCTTGTGTTTGGTCGATTTCATCTATAGAAAATAATTTAAAACAAAGTCCATTTATCTTGGCTTTACAAAAGGAGTACATTAAATTAATATCTAAAATCTGCCCAGTAGTTATTTGTTTTAGACTTTCTTGACATACTACTCTTTTAAAAGTCCCACTAATACCATTACAGGGGGATTTACCATGACTGGTTGCAAAAAATGCTCATTCAGCATTTAAATCAAAGTTTTTACTGTGATGACAAAGATTAATAAAGTAATTAAAATTTTTAAACACAACTATCTGAAAAGTATTTTACACTTGGTACATCAGGTAGATTGTCATGTATCCTGTGTCATGACTAACATCTTCTGAAAGGTAACAAAAAGATTTATGTTCAAAAACTTTTTTATCTAGTGATAAATTTAGATAAAGTGCAATTGTAAAAAGTAAACATTGACTTTTGCTCCAGTGATAATTTTGAACCTCATCTTGAACAACACACTGATAATTTTCAGCGAAATCTCTTAAAATTAGGCATTTGTTTTGCTTAAGATTTTCTTTACAGTTTTTATATATCTACTTTGTGTTTTTGCAATATATGAATAAGTGGTAAGGTTGTCAATGCTGTCATATAATAAATCACTAAATTCATCTAGTGATTGTAATGTTGTGTGATTGGTACTCTGTTGCTTGGATACATCTTCTTTGAGCTCATGATCCATAAACTCCTGCACTAAAAATTTTTTTAATGCTTCAATACCAGGGCATTGGTTACATCGATGCAAAATACATTCTGCATTTTCAAGAGAACAAACAATCAATGCCATGAAATCTTTTTAACTTTTATTCCACCTAATTGTATTAATGAGAAATTTTGTCTATTGGTGATGTATGCATACACATACATTATTACACATTAGTTGTAATGCACCATTTAGGTTTGAGTACAAAACTTTGACAAACTGAATTGGATGTTAGAGTTGTCTTTTTTAAATGCTTTTTTAAATAAACTCATTAAGATTGAATAGCAATAACCTTTTTTGAATATGTTGGTTTCTTTTAACACTTACAAAATCTTTTTTTCCTGGCACCATTCTTGAAAATTCATTACTTTGATAAAAGTTAATCACTAAATTAACTGTTTCTGGTGAAAACGGGTTTCCA